TGCTTGAGGCTGCCCCTGAGCCGCCGCCACTGCCGAGCGGGCGTCTCGTTCTGGTCCTGCGAAGCAGCGACGGTGAAATGAGTGGGAATTGTGATGACAGCGCCTCGAGCTCCTGTAACCTTTAAGTAATTCTTAACTGGCAAAATCGACTCACAAGTTACAGTGCTTGTTCTATGTTGTGGTTCAATCTGCAGCTTGTAACTTTGAAAGTAAGTGAAACCAGTCATCACAGTGCAGCTGTAACTTTCAAGAAACTCAGTAGACTAATGTCTTTGAGAAATGGTTTTCAGCTTTTCCACGTAATTAAATCTGGATGCCTAAAGATCTCTTGGTAAAGGTGTAGACATCCTTGCGTGGATTTGATGGCCTTCTCCGAGGTAGTTCAAGGCATCGCTTTCTGTTAGCTCTGCAGTCTGCCTGCCACAAGCTGAAACCACTGCCTTGAGGAACTGTTATTACAAAAATAACACACATACATGTATAGTAATAAAGGACAAAAGTGGTAATTTTTCGTGCATTTAGATGTTGTTTTCTTTTTCTTACCAAATAGATTATGAGGAGGAAAAGTCTTTACATAAGACAGTAGGTGTTCAGAAGGAAAACACATTGAGACAATACAGTAGCTATGGCAAAGGATAAGAAGAAAGACAGTAAGAAGGCAGAAAAATCTGTGCGTCCTCCTACTTCTGCACAAGATACTACAGCTGTGAGGAGTTCGACAAAGCTGACAGATTTGCAGACTTTAGTGAATCAAGAGGAGGAAACACAGGCAAAGCTGGTGATACCGGATAAAGAACCAGAGAAGGTAGAGGAACCTCCAATCCAAGATATTCCTCTATACTACGAGGAACGTATTCTTGCTCAAGTTATTGTAAAAAGGTATGCTTGTTACAAATACATCTGTGAAGTCAAGAATTCTCATTTAAGTATCTCAGGTGTGCTCCATGTCCTACATAGATTTGGCTCTTGATTTGAAGCAGAGAATCAGACCTAGTAGCTGTGACACCTTCTGAGACCCATTGGGAATTCTGTTGCCTTCTTACATTCTGCTGGTGCTATCTGCCTGCTGCGTGCTTTTAGCTTGTTCACCTACAGTGAAGTTTTGTTTAAGAACACAGACAGGTGGTGAAGGAAATGTAGCTGTGTCATTTAATGATCAGTTGTTGCTGTCTTTTAATGTTTACAGCTGCTCCTATCCATTAAGAACATCCTACACTGACAAAACAGGTGAATGGCAGTGTTAATGAAATCCTTCGGTAGTTCAAGAGGACTGTATATAGTGTTTCATATACTGACCAGCTTGCCTGGTTGTGAGTAAATGATACCAATGTGATTTGTTTTCTTAACTGAACAAAGTATGAGGCTGAAGCAACACAATACTTATGTGAAATGTTTCAAGGAAGGTACAGAACTGGAAATTTTATTGCAGCTCATTTTTCTACACAACAGGCCTATGTGTAGACTGTGGTAAATCAAAGGTAATTTAGTATATTTCTGTTGTAATTTAGGCCTACTGACAGTGACTTGAAATATTTATCTTTAGTTTGTTTTCCTTGTAGCTATGAAGGTGAAAAAGTCCGTGGATTGTATGAGGGTGAAGGATTTGCATATTTTGAGGGGGGAAATACACATAAGGTGAGTATGTAAATTAAAGTAGTAGTGGAACAAGTTCTTCCTCTAATACAGGCAGGCTATTTCTTATAATGTAGGTGGAGGCTGAGCACTCAGAATGTGTAAGCATTGAAAATGCTGTTGATTTTTGACAGTAAAACTTCATTTGAAACTAGTAGCTAGAGGGCAATTAATATGTCATACTTTAGTTGTAAGAATAAATTTGCAAGCATTCTCTTTATTTTGAAGGGCATGTTTTCTGAAGGGCTTATGCATGGAGAAGGGACTTACACGTGGTCTGATGGAGTGAAATATGAGGTAAAGTGCAATTTAACTTATAACTGAACACAGTTGCAGCCAATTTGCCACAGTGTGCAAGTTCAAGGAATGTAGGTAAGTTGCAGCAGTTGGTGCAATAACAGGTGGCAACTGCAGAACTATGGCAGTGATTGTGATCGCAAGCCTGCCTTTTCCCAGATAGTTGGGGAACAGTGAGTCTCAGTTTTTCAGACGATGAAATTTAATCTTTTAGGGAACATTTGTTAAGAATGTGCAGATGGTTAATGGCCGTTATACATGGAACGATGGCAGCAGTTATGAAGGATCCATCAAGAATGGGTTTAGACATGGATTTGGATGTTTCAGGAGCGGCACTCGTCCAGTTTCTTACATTGGGTATTGGTGTAAAGGCAAAAGACATGGAAAGGTAAGTAAAAACACCAAAGGAGATTTGGTCTTGGGTGACTACCTTCTAGAACAGCAAGCACTCTTTCGCAAAGTTTTTGGAAAAATGTTTTATGCCATTGTATGGTTTTATGCAGTGTAGAGATTAATTTTTCCTAAGGATCTTCTCTGAAGTCATGAATGCTAATTAAAGCAATTGGGGTGGGATCTTGCTTGTAGCAGACAGGATGAATGGTATCCTGAAAGAGTAATTGGCCTCATATGTGGTTTGTCCCTTTATGCTGCTCCGAGTAGATGATGACAAAGTCAAAACTGATGACAGCATTGATAGCCACGTAACAAGGACAGAACAATTAGCTTCTCAGTAATAACAAAGGGATCCCACCTCCCAAATGTGTTAAGCAGAACAAGTGTGATAATTAAGACTGCCTTACCTAGTGTAAGTAACATCTAGTTCCAACTGTGTAAAGGCAAGTAGTGCTTTTATCTGTCTCCGTTTTGTGCGTCCAGATTAGATGCTCTTCTAGGCCTGACATTTTGTAGACTGATGCTCTCGGCATGTGAGGAGAATTCATTCTAATTACATGGATTTTGTGTTCTGTGTCACTAATGAAACACTAAAATCACACAGGCTGCTGTGGGTGGTCACCAGTGCAATGGTCTTCCCATTTTGTCAGAGAGGAAGCTCTTAAACAGAAAGACAGGACAATTAATGCTGTAGACCTACTGTTGGCAGTTGAATTCTAAATTAGTCGGAAAACTGATCTACCTCAGAGTGACTATTGTGATTAAGTTGACAAAGTTAGCTCTCTGAACGTGTTTTGAAAAACACGGTAGATTTTGGTGTAATCTAGTATGATTTTCTGGGAATAGTTCATCTTTTCTTAAGATCTTAACTAATACTCATCAAAGTGTTGCTTTTTTATTTAATTTTATCACAGCAGTTGCTTTCAGTACCATGTCTCAAAGTGACTAGGAGTGTGATTACGTCTTATATAATTGTTATGCAATGTTTTATTAATGTAGATGAATAATTATTTAAATTGACCGTACTGCTTGTTTCAGGGTACCATTTATTATGATCAGGAACACACCTCTTGGTATTCAGGCGACTGGGTAAATAACGTCAAAGAAGGATGGGGAATGAGATGGTAAACATGATAACACTTGTTCTTATCTTCTTTTTTTTTATTTTACATGTACTATCATATAGTTTCTCCTGTTGTTTAAAATGAATACAAATGCTGTCATTTCCTAGTAGTGTGTACTTTCTTCAGTGGAATAAATACTTGTACAAAGCATGTTAGAGTAACAACTTGTCTAAAACGTACATTTGTATGTTTGGATATTTCTGCTGATAATTTCCACAAAAGAATGTCTGAAGGCAACATCCAAAATCAACTTTGGTAAACCACAAATCAACATTTAAAACAAAATTATCTCAATTAATTTGAACAGATGGAGCTGCTTTCATTAGTAAATTAATTATTTGTGGTATTATATATAAAATAGTATTTTGGCTATGGTAAAGACTGGGGAAAAAAGATCTGATTAATATTTTTAGTGATTTGTAGGTTAAAAATAGGAGGTAAGCAATTGGTACAAACAAACCTCTGTATATCACAGTGAGATAACTGTCACAGTAATGCTAGTATTTAGCATTAATAAATGCTAAATTTAGTAACAGTGGGGTTTTGCATAAACCTTGCCTTAGTAAGATCTACTCAGAATTTAGTATGAGTGAATCATTAACTTTTATTGCCTTTTTGTAGCTATAAGTCTGGAAATATCTATGAAGGTCAGTGGGAGGAAAATGTACGTCATGGAAAAGGAAGAATGAGATGGCTGACAGCTAATCAAGAGTACACAGGAGAGTGGGTGTATGGCATACAGGTAGTCATTTCTTCCCCAGTAATCTTAGCTCAGCATCTGTCCATTACTGTAGTAAAACTAGATAGGAAGTCATTTGCAATGTGAAAGGAGATTTCTATGATTTTTGCTAGTCAAAATAGTGGAAATACACAGTTTATTATAGATTGATTCTCAAGTTAGCAATATTCAAGTTGTTAAAAGGCTTTTGACTTGGTTTTACAAAATCATGATTTAATTCTCTAGTGGAAAATATAAACCTTTGTCATTAAACGAAAATTAAATGCTTGTGACTGTACTTAGCTTGATATATAACTTCAACAGTAAGTATATGTGGCAATTTACTTCTCTATCACCTGTAAAACATTAGACCGCACTGTTCCCTCTTGTAAAAGTTTTATGAAGAAAGGAGAAGTTTTCTGGCATTTTCTGTTCCTTCGCTTTATTATTCTGTTGGAAAAAGAAGGTGAGCTACTTTCTGTGTTTTTTCACTCTGCATAAAATTGTCAAGGAGTCCAGTCTCTGTCTGGCACGGTGTTTCTCACCTGGCTGTTCAGCATTACGGTCCAAAGGATTCAGGCAGGCAGGATGTTGTTAGGAGTCCTGTTGGTAGAGCTTCGTAGAATCCTGGAAGGGTTTGGGTTGGAAGGGACCTTAAAGGTCATCTAGTCCTAACCCCCTTCCATGGGCTGGGCCACCTCGCTCAGGTATGTGTTGATTCCATATATCCTCTGAGCGCTTCTCCCGTGCACTGTTGTAGAATATAGGACTTGGGACGATTTGAAGTACTGCCGCTGTCAACTGAGTGCTTTGATTTGAGACATTTGCCAACAACAGCTCTTAAAGATGCCTAGGATGCCTCCTTTCAAAAAGTCGCAATAGTAGCTCTTCTGGAGACGTGGGGTTTTTTTAAACACACAATTTTTTTTTCAGCATGGATATGGCACCCACGTATGGTTTTTGAAGAGAATCCCTGCTTCTCAGTATCCTTTAAGGAATGTATACATAGGTGATTTTGTAAATGGCAAACGACACGGACATGGGAAGTTCGTATATGCCAGTGGAGCAGTGTATGATGGTGAATGGGTTTGTAACAAGAAGCATGGCAAGGTGAGTATTGACAAGGAGTAAGAAAAAAACTATGGACAACACCAGAAGAGACAATTGTGCCCTGTGTACTGGATCTCTAGGTTTCTGTATGGAAAACTACATTCCATTTGATTGTGGGTGGAATCCCAATGTAAAGGGCAGAGTCTGCTGAAAGCAGTAGGACCCCTTCCAAGGACCTCGCTGGGCCACAGATTTGACTCTGTGGTTAGATGTGTAGTGTGTGTCTAAAGAACTATGTTTTACTGTTGGGACTTTCAGTGCAGTAAGTGCATCCTGATTTTTGCCGTGGTTGGTCAGTACTTCACTCTGACACTGTGAGCTAAGGGGTTTCAAGCCATCCTTGCCCAGAGATGTTCTTGCATTAACAGACTGTTTAAAAAAATAGGTATGCGGGAGTGCCACGTGTGCAAACTAAGGATCGCAAACAAATCTTTCTAAATGGGGGTGAAATGGATTTTCCTCAAAATACTTTTCAAAATCAAACAGATATATAGGCAGTTCTTCATCCCAGCATGTGCTTTAATTAACGGATGACAAAGTACTTTATAAAAAAAGGGCAGGAGAGATTATTTTGCTTTATTTTATCTCATATATTGCATTGTAGCCAAGATTCTTAGAAGGAAATTTGATTGAGAGCATTAGTGTTATTTTCTCTGATCTCTCACTTGTATTTAAATTAATCAAATTAATCTGTCTGTAGGGCAAGTTTGTCTTCAAGAATGGTCATGTTTATGAAGGAGAGTTTATAGATGATCGTATAGTAGAATATCCTGCTTTCCAAATGTATGCAATGGATGCAAAAGAGCTGAATGCCATTTGCTCAGGAGGTCATTTTGGCACTGGTAAGCAGCTTAAGAAAACAAATTCTATTTGGTTTGTATTTTGTTGCTCCTTTTTTTGCGATAATGGGAAGTTGTTCATACTTACTCAAGAGCTAGAGATGTTTCTTCAAAGAACGCTGATAAAAATGAAAGTTACCTTAATAATTAATGACTTTTGCTCCCATGCTGCTTGTTTCTTATGCATGACACTTTGAGTTGAGGACACATCAACACTAAATCTTATAATGCTTTTGTAACATTGTTGTCTGAAATTTATGTAGCTTATGCAATATCTATATTTTCTTTTGACTAGGGGTTGGATTTGAGAAAATTAGTCTTCACTTGTTATGCTGTTGATATGAAATCTCTCTACTCCTCACTATAAATGAGTCTGTTACTCAATATGAAGTCAGTAACAGAAGGAATTACATGTTTTATTGTCTCTCTGTGTGTATATATATGTGTTTTTAACTACATTTTAATTTGTTGTAATTTATTTTATTTGCATGGTAGAAAATACCACAGTCATTAATGGCTCAGAAAATACTTCTGTTCTGGGATCAAATATTGACTTGGATATATCTTCAGTGCTTGACTTGTTGCCAAGGGAAGAGAGACATGAAGAACTGAAACAAGTAAGAGTCTGCTCTTTAGTATTTTCATTTTTCCCTCACAGTGGTTCATATTACATTTTCTGGTTTGTTTGTATTAAAGTAACTCTTTCCATTAAAGAATTACCTGAAAGTCTGAAGGCCAAAAAAGGACAAAAAACCAAAAAGAATTCATAGATAGTATTGCCTCTTCTGAGCTTCCACTAGAAGACAAAAAAAATACATGAATGCATTCAACAACTGTCTTCAACTACTGTGAGGTTTGTTGGCTGACAGAGACCAATTTATGTTTTGTCATTCACCAAAAAATACATATTATAACTACATCTGAGTAACGCTCTCGTAAACACTTAACCAGGGATACTCTCTTCGAAGTTACAAGATCAAAAACATTATGTGCCCAGTTACAAGATCAGTACAGGCCGATCCCTACTTGCTGTGCGATAATGCTGAAAACATTTCCTGCTTTATTTAGGTAACGTTTGCTGTGTTGAGGCATATCACAGAGCTGAGGAGAGTTTACATCTTCTACAGCGGCCTAGGCTGTGATCATTCTTTTGACAATACCTTCCTCATGACTAAGCTCCAGTTTTGGAGGTTTTTGAAGGACTGCCAGTTTTATCACGCCAACCTAACTCTTGCTGGAATGGATCGGATATTGAGCGGTTTGTATTTCTTTTTGTTGGGGTCTGGAATCTAGGAGTTTTAGCAGTAAGCTCTGGAGAGTTGGAGTGACGAGTTAGCTCAGCTCTCGTGGTTACGTGGCCCTGCGTGAGTACCTCTGTGCCCGCGAGTTCTCAGTGGGTGCATTAGTGCTTCTCCAGGCACTTCAGGTGCTTGGGTGAGAAAACGCAGAATTTCAGTACCACTTCAGAAACTGTTCTCAAGAGCCATGTATTCAAAAACTGTATTCACCTCTGGTCTTACTATTACAAGCAGTTTTAAGAGGTTTGAATAAGAGAAGTAGAGGAGAAATATTTTTCCTTTTTTCCCCCAGTACTCTTAACTGTGTTTTGCATGTAGTATTTTTTTCCTCTTCCATAGAGCCAATTAATCAATCAGTTCCATTCAGATGTGCAGTAGGGTGCACTGCAGTGTCCCTAGTATCTGAAGGGTCTAACTCCAGCTTCTCCTCTCTTTTCATTCATATACGCTTAGCAGATGCATTTCTAGAAAAAGATTTGGCTGTAGGTGTGCGGTTCTCCCTTGACCTGCTTGTTTGGAGGTGATAGTGTGTCTGGTCTGATTCTTCCAGGAGTGGTGTTACACTGTGACAGGTAGAGATGGAGAGGATGAGAAGTGCTGACAAGTCGGTATGCCTATATGCATTTTAATGTACATGATAGCAATAGAGATTTGTTTCTTTCAAATTCCCTAGGTTATAGAACACCCCTTGAGAAGATACATTCTCCACATGAGACTTTACTGTTCAGAACATTTTTGTCTTACCTTATTCATCTAGCATTTCATATCTATCATGAAGAGCACAAGTAAGTTTCATTTTTTAGTGAAATCTATTTCAGTGCAATGAGTTTGAGTCTTCCTAGACAAGAGTATCTTTGTTTCAGCTGTAGAGAGAAAGGTCCTTACCTGAGTAAGTGTTTCTCAGAGATGATGTCCAGGAATGTTATTCCTGAGTAAGTAATGGTATTTCTTCCTTGCTGTGCAGAATTCATCCATTAGGACCACATACATCAGAATTTTATTGTAACAGTTATTTTTTTTTTCCCCAACTCATTTTTAAAGGTATCTTATTTTCTGAAGAACAACGTACAGTTTTTGCCATGAGCTATGTTGACAAATGCTGGGAAATATACAGAGCTTTTTGCAGACCAAGTACCAGACCTCCATTTGAACCCACAATGAAAATGAGACACTTCCTTTGGATGTTCGATGTAATAACCTATTTTTTTAAATTTTATGTAATTAGTTGCACTTTATTTGTTCACTTTATATGAGCATTTAAAAATATTCCCTGTGGCTTCTGCACAGTTGAAAAGGTAGGACTGGTGTTATTTGTACAAACTCTTCAACAAACATTAAAGAGACAGTTCTACAGAAATTATTTATGTACTTTTGCAGAATTGAATTCTAATTTTGTACTTGATCATTTCAAATAATCAAGTGTTGGACAAATCTGTTTTAAGGGAATATAAATACTTTTGCTGGCTTTTTCTTCCCCGGCCTCCTCCCATAAAATGTATACATAAAAATGTCTTACTGGTAGAATTCAGAAGACTGGAAGCTTTTGAAATAACAGAGTAAACCTTTTAATAATGTATTAATTTAATATACTCCAAGGTGAGAATGAGATTCTTTACTAAAATTCAGTAATTCAGGGACAGATCAAGATTATACTGAATCTAGGGAACAATTCCCATTGATATACCTGGGGTTTTAATACTGTTTAAATTGAAGCCTTTTTAAAATGAAAAATATTAATTAAAATATCAGATGGCAAAACTGTATTTTTTATATTTTTATTTAAGAACCTTCTTAACATTGTTTTTGCAATCTAGGAAAAACTGCTGTCGACTTCAGCAGGGCCAGAATTTCACTCTGTCTTTAATTATGTATGTGGAAGTATCATTTGAAACCACTAGAAATTTCAACACAGACTTTAAAGGGAGTTAAATTAGGTCAATGTGGGAATGCCTTAAGTGCTGTTAACATGTAACATTTACTCTTACCCAGGATTTAAAACTTCTCAACAAACAATTAACTGCTTCAAGACTTGTGGAAATACTTGCCAAAGATGGTCCCTCTCTACATGATAGCAGTGATACCAACCTGGAGCTGGAGGTGTGTATGGAAACGTTAAGATGGATCAATAACTAGATGCGAACCCACTGATCCTGAAAATCTGGTGATGCAAGAACCTAATTAGTGATGTGTGAAGTGTGGCTGCCTCAGTGAGGTTGGTCAGTGACTGTGGAAGAGTCCTGTGCCACCTGACAGCTGGCCAGTTACAGAGGGCCTTCACCCGTAAGGAGTCAGCTCCTGCTCTGTCATGGTGTATTGTAAAAGACATAACTGAATTTATTGTTTTAAACAGTATCCGCTAAAGTGAACACACGGTGTCAGTCTTATTAGGGCATTGCACACCCATTCTTGACGTTTCTGGAAGTGTTGTATGCAAATGAACATTTTATGTAATAGCAATAATTGTGTTATTTGTTAGAGAAATTGCTTTTAGCTCCAGATACAGCAAAAATCTATGCAGTATTTTATCTCAGTATGACCTGTATATGGTGTAACATGATATATCACCTCCTGAATTTTTGAGCTTGAGCTATTTTCAATTTTTGTTCAGCAGAAGTCATGTTTGACTAGATAAATGAGGGTACCAAAGCTTCACAATCACTTTTGAGTCTTTGCTTGCTCAGGTGCATATGGCTGTTAATGAAGGGATTTTGCAAAAATGAATGAATTAATCACTGTGTTTGTTTTACTCTAGTTGGTTTTTCTTGAATTTGTTGAAGCTCTTCTTAACTGCGCATTGGTGTATGTTACCAGTGATATGATTAAGGAGCAAGTAGCTTGTGTTCATGAGAAAAGAAGTAGCTTTAGAGTCAAGGGTCTCTCCGAGGGAACCACCGTTGTGTCTCTGTACCCAGAATATTCTCTGTCCCAGGTAAAGTTGATGCAAACCTGGTAAATATTATTATGTATCCACTTACAGGACAAAGTTGGGCTGTGCAAATGTTGTGTTTCCTGAATATAGAAACCAGTTTCCTCTTTTTGCATAAACAGTCGTTTGATTCAGTTCTGCTTTTCTTCCGTTTGCTGCCTTAGATTGTAACATCACTATAGACAGTTTTAACACATTTGCACATTTTCCTACATAACTATAAATACTCATAAAGCACTTGCAAGTCTTCCAGTGTTTGAAGAGGAATTGACAAATTATTTGACTGATCAAAGATACGCCTCTTCTGCTTTTGGTTGGCAGAATGCTTTGGAGATAAGAGTTTGCGTGACTCAAATGGATATGTGATTTCACTTTTTAATTTGAACACAAGTCCAGGCATTTAGTAACTTAATTTAAAACTTCTTGCCAGCCACTGAGACCTTATGAAGACAGAGGGCATCCTTTTCAGGAGTTTCTGCTGGGTGAGTACTGCAGTTACTGTCAGCATCTACAAGCAGTGGTGCTAGAGGAGATTCGCTCTTTCTGCAACTGAAAGATGGTTAGAACAGTAGCTGATGAGTGAAACAGCTGGATATACTGCAGTCACAGAAGGTAGCTGCATTCCCTTTGACAGTTACGACAAGGTTTACATTTAACTTTCCACACCTGCTATATGCAGGTGTGATTTTAATGAGAACTTGGTGTGATTTTAATGAGAAGCTATCACATTCTCCTTAAAAATAATTTAACGGCTTTTTAAAACTAGATTCTTCCTGTTCTGTCCCATGCATTTGGGCATGAAAACAGAAAGTTGAACTCTGCACTGTTCCTTCATTATAAAGAAACTTTTCATCAGTACAGAAGTGTTTCAAACATAGGTCTAACCAAGGTCAGGTAACAATTTATATTTGTTTATGGTGAAGATCAGACCTGATATTTAATGCACAGGATTACAGACTCAATAATCTTATTTCTTTCTTTGCAATATTAGATACTGTTCTCTCATTACACACAACTCACAGAGATGGCAAAGATCTGTCAATGCTCAGCTGGGATGCAGGAAAAGAACAGGATTTCTGTCCAGCAAGGGAACTGAGAGGTAAAACAATCCCACTGTTTAAAGACTAACACAAAATAATCCCTTTTAGCTCTTGAATTGCAAAATTTTAATTGTATATGCAGATTTCAGTTTGTCACAAGAGGGCAGTAAATGAACAGTAATTCTGGAGGAAGTTTTTTAAAGAATTTTTTTTTAAAGAAGAAGAAACTTAATAATGAAATGAGATGTTTAAGTACTGACTTAAATAGTTTCCCCAATTATACAGTGCCACATTTTAGTTGTAGGGAATCTGTAAACTGTAATTTGTATTTACGCTCAATCTGTAAATCTGCCCTTTTTCACATTTTTATAATGTCTTGGACAAATAAAAGCTATTACTGCTATCTCTGCTTTTTTTAGTTGGTGTAAGAATTATTATTACTGGTGTGCCATCCTTAGCTGGGATAAGATGTCTTACGTTACAACAAGCCGATGTTCATGCAGAACAGAAATCAGTGAGAGCATTTTCATATGTTGAGGCTTGTAACCTGTTTAATTTACATGTTGCAGATGAACCAAAAGAACCCAAAACTGAACAAGATGAAGATTTTACTCTGTGGATGTGTCAGGTGCATGTCTTTTTTACAGCTAAGTTCTTTCCTGCCTACCAGCATGAAAAACTGCTGAGGGAAAAAATAAAAGAAAATCGAGTACAAGATGCTGAATTAGCTCAGCTGAGAAAGATCAAGGATGAGGAGCTGGCAATGTGAGTGTTGTATATTATCCTGAAGTACTGTTATCTCTTATCTTCTGCTAGCAGAGTTACTGAAAATGAGAACTGTACTTTATTAGTGTCATCCAGGTATAGTAAGCAACATACAGAATGTAACTCGTATGACTTCTGTTACCGATGGGAATAGCAAATACGAGTTGTTTCCTGGTTACAGAACTCTTAACTCTTTGATGTTTACTGTCACTTCAGCCTTGTTTTGTGTAAAGGCAGTTAACATGGGGGTTTTTGTTTGTTTGTTGTGGTTTTTTTTGTTTTTTAACCTACTAAAGTCAGACTTGAAGTGGTAACTAGACAGATTTTCTCCTTCTCTGCAATAGGACAGTTTATATTGCTTATACTTTGAATATAGCTGTAGCTGCTTAGCCACTATAAATCTACCTCCCCACCCTCTTGCAGTATACTAAATTTAAACTTTGTTCACTCAGACTTATTGCTGAAAGAGAAGTCAAAGAGGCAAAAAGGCAAGAAGCGGCTGCAGCAGAAAAAGCACTTCTCTCCAAGAGTGCAGAGTTAGAGGAGCCTGTCACACTGTTAGTACCCCCTGTGAAGGAAGAGGCACCTACTGTAGCACCCTCAGTTGTTACCAAGGTGCCTGGTGGCAAAAACAGAAAGAAGAAATAAATCTTCGCATGAGAACTACTAAAGCTTCAAGTAAGTACTCTTTGAATAAGAAAGAAACAACCTAGCAACAACCCAACCAGATGTGCAGTAAGGTCTAAAATACAAGTATGCCTAAACTGTCTGCACAGGCCTTGCTAGTTTCAGAGGGAAACTCTGCTTCAAGACCAAGGGTCGTTTACATCACTGAAACCCTTTAAACAAATTATTATTATTATTGAGTTGTACCTAAAAATTCCCTCAGTGTTAAGTCAATACACGAACTGATATGATAGTATGTCCCAGTAGAAGGGTTTCTGCTTAAAATAGGGTTTATTTAACTGAAATACTGCCCATAAACAACCATGTAAGAATTCGACAAAAAATGTGAATCAGGCTGAAGTACAAGCTGCAAAGAACAGGTCAACCTAGACAGTCCTTTGTTCAGGGGTCTTTTGTAACCAGTCTAGTTTCACCTTGTAGAAAATGAGCAGGAAGTCCCATGATGATGCAAATGAACACAGGAAAACAAAAAGATGCCCTTAAAAGTGTAACAAGTATTAGCTTTATTTTTCAGTAAAATATTCACATAACAATATCAGAATGGAATGGTACAGATGAATTCAGACTGTTTTTTAATTAGTTTGCACATAAACATTTTTAAAATCTATAAATTTTATGATCAGAGTTTACAGATTTTAGTAGAAATTTTGATTCTTACAAAGCAAGTATTGCTTTACTATTGTAATTATTCCAGTCAATAATATGACTAATAACTTTTCATGTTGAGCAAGTGTCTGACATTGACATCTTCAATAAATCAGCCCTTTGCAGATCAATCCAAGAAGAAAATATTATTGAACTGTGTTGCACAAAGTTTCTTCACTTCTTCTGTAAAAAAATAAGAAGATATTTCAGTATGATACATTACAGAAACCTCGTTAAGGAAAACCCTGGGGATCATCAAGGACAATGTAACTAAATTCAAACAGAAAAAGCCCTAGGAGTTTCTAATACAGAAATACCATGTTACTCTGTCTTCAGTAAGAAAAAGTTAAGTCTGACGTTTCACACTATCTGAAAGATGAGTTGTATTCTGAGTGGCTAAAGTGTAAATGATGGTTTGAGCTTGCTGCTGAGCCAGTCATCTTGTCACACTTCTCCTGTTGCAGTGTAAAAGACTTAGCTGCTGTGTATTATATAAAGGCACTGTAACACCTTTTCAGGGGAAGAAGGGATTAGTGTAGTCTGTTAGAGTAAGTCAGCAAAACTTTCGCTTTGTGCTCTTTTGCAGAAAACAACTCCTAAGTTTATCAGAAACACTCATTTACTGTTTCTGTAGGGCAGGTTGATCCTGAAAGACAATTGGAAATCATTGTGTAAGTCATGGAACTTAGTCCTCTTTTTAAAATTCAGGTTGCTAGGCTTGGAAAAGTATTTGTCTTGGAAAAGTATTAATTTTTTCCGTCATCCAAGTGAGCACATTGCCTCCTATTAGAGCAGAGCCCTAAAACTGCTACAAGTGAGACTCAGACTGCCATTTCTCTAACATGCAATCAGCTTTTAAATATACTTTATGTTCATCATAGTAAATCATTCTCAAAACAGCATTAGAAACAAAGCAATGGGATGAGGATCCCTGACAGGATAGATGTAAGATGTGTAAGTAACCTACCCATCAATCACTGACAAAAAAACCCCCTAACTCAGACGTAAGTATGTTCTTCTCTCCCCTGTAATACATGTCATTGATTATTCCTAAACTAAGCTCACAGAGCTCTCCTCTGTTATTTGAAGGAGGAATAACGATTCATTAATAATTAAGAACATCTGCTGAATATTTATGCTGTTCTTTCACAGCTGGTAGAAGGCACACTAAAACCTTACGCAAACTTACCTGGTGTATCATAGATCAATCCCTCTCTAGATTTCTCGTTTCATGGATTTTTTTTACTTCTCCAGGGACATACATTTTAGTAGCAACTGTATTTAAAGGTAATAAAATACAATCCTTACCATTAACTTCAATCAGATTTGCATTTTTTTGATTCAAAATAACATACAGTTCGCGCTGGTCAGACTTTTTCCCAACTACCCAGTAATCACTCATTGCCTTCACAATAATTTCCTCATCTTCATCAACTCTGAAAGAAGGTTTAGAAAGTAAAGAAAGTGGCAGCAAGTTCATCTTCAGCAACTTTATTTGTAATCATTAGGACAGCTTAATGTCATAAATTGCTGTGGTTGTGCAGTATCAGAGACTGTGCAGTCCATGAAGGCTTCGTAAATGGCTGTTTAGGACAATTACATCCCCAGATGAATAAATCATTAATTTGTCCATCAGCAGTTTTGGTTTGTCTATAGAAGTTTTGTGTTTTTAAGATAGACTACTTCTAAACCAACACAAAATACTAAATATGACCTGTTACAGCATTTATCTCACAGAGCTAGGAATAGCCATCCATGAACAAAAAGATGTGAAAGCTTCACATCTACTTGGCAGAAGGAGTTACAGGCTATTTAATAGTTAAGCATTACCTGGAGAAGTCACTGTTGATGTCACCGAGAATCTTCATGAGGTCAGGGTGAACAGAGGCAAGTGATACACTGGGTGTTTTCCGCATGTGAATGGTACTTTTCTCTGCCAGGTTCATGTGATTGAAATAGATAAACTTAAACTGGGGCTCCTTCTCAGCCCTAGGAAGATTTAAAAAAAAAAAAAAAAAGAAAAAGAAAAGTAACTTGTGAATGCTGACATGCTGTACAAGCACAGGCTGCATGAGAACAGGTAACTAGCCAGTGCAAAGCTTAGACAATCCGAGGTTATCTTCACATTGAAGAGACCCAAGTACATTAACAATTGTGGCATAATCAAAATTCATTTTAACACGTTTTAAAAAAAAAAAAAAAGCCTGCAAAACCAACCATTTTTCCCCCTTCTGCTGCTTAGGCTGCTTGTAAATAGACACAGGAAGGTCTAAAGGCCTTGCCCCACTTCCCAGCAGTAGTTTGTCTGCATTTACCAATAACCTGCTTTTCCTCTGTCCCCATTTTGTTTCCTTGCTGCTCTCCTCAGTGACAGTCCAATCTGATGCTAGGTCTTTTTTGATCAATAAATAATTTTCCACTCACATCTGTTATTTGTTACAATCAAAATAAAGAACTCTTCCTTTATCCAGGAAATTGGACTTCCCCCATCATTTGTGTAAGCCAAGCAAATAACCTGCCTTCGTCGTCTTCCCTCATTTCCTCTTTTATTACATTGATACAAAACCTGTCACTTAGAACTGTAGTTTTGGTGGAAGTCACAGCAAATTCAGAGTGGCAAAAACCAGTTCTAAGCACCTGGTACTTCAGGCTATGTATAATTTAGAATCAGGAAGATTCGGTGATGACACCATTCACCTTGGCAAACAACTAGATAGCCTTGCTCTCTGTCACCCAGATGCATTAATGTCAAGGAACTGTATCATGTTTTCAGGACACCAAGGCATTAAACTTTAAAAGAGCTAAAGCTGCCAAAGCCAGTCCCAGATGACATTTAAAAACCCCAAGTTTAATGATTTAGTAGATCAGCACAATTTCAAGCACATCCTATTCTATACCCTGCAAATTTGCTGACTTGGCAGGCTACTACTAAATGAGTTCAGTCACACACCTATCTTTGGTTTAATTCCTCTTTTGTTCTCATATGTGATGCTGTTCTTGTTTCCCCAACTAACAGATCTATCCTGAAATAAATAGAAATTTATGGAGAGTCAGCTATAGTTCAAGAGGAATATTTTCCAAAGCATTAACATACGTTTTCATTTGACTATTTTTTGCCCCTTAAGTAGTTACCTTAGTCCTGCAAAATAGAAAAAATAAGGCAGTTTTTTTCCCTCACCTACTATACATGACAACACTCCAAGAAGCAGTAATTCTGGAAAAAAGTACTCAACTGTAAAGCTTGCATCGTAACCAAATAATCCACTCGCTAAAATCTCCATTTCAAACTGTTACACAAAAGTTGTTCCAGTATCTAGACCTCCATTTTCCTTTTGGATTTGTAGCAGAGTTCAGAGTTATATACACTCCGCCCAGGCTCGAAGCACTTGTGTCCAAGGCAGTACTCAGAGCTAGTGCTGTCAGCGTCCACTGGACATGAAAAATACAGTTCTTCTAATATGATAGAAAACAGCAGCCTGGGAAAGCAGAAGTCAAAGGAAATCGGCACAAAGGGGGATGTGGGCACAAAGAGTGATTTTTCTTTTTTTTTTTTTTTTTTTTTTTGTTTAAACTTAAATAGCCCTTGGGCTGGTAGAACAATTGTGAACATTATGAGACCCTGTTTTCCTTAAGAAAAGTTAGAAAATATAAACTGAAGTTAGGATTTTGCAAAATCCCCTAGTTCTCTACTTCAGTATGGGGGTCAGGGACAGAAGACTGTTGCTTCAGTTGGCATTTTTGCCATCTTGTATATACTTCTGCAAGCACAGTAATCTGTAAACGCATCATCTCCTCAGGTCAGCCAGTGCCAGTTCACACAAAAAAGCAGCAAAACCTAAACGTTCCACCTCTTGTATCTGAGTAATCTGCTGACAGCTGGGGGGGATGAAGAGGCAGAATCTCAGTTGATCATAGTGAGATTTATCTTAATATCTACATCTTTTTTTTTTCCTGCAACAAAAAAGCAACGTGTGTTTCAGCCACACAATAAACACCCGTTCCAAAATTAGTAACATGTATGTTGTTACTTCAGGGACACCTGAATATGCAACAGACACTTCACAAATGCTTAGGATGCAGAAAGGTAGATACATATAATTTAAAGTACACAGTTAAACCAACGCTTTCAACATTTGAGCTCACATTACCATTATTTAAGCAGTTCATTAAACCTAATTTTTAGCCAACTAATGAGCATCTGCAACAGGAACGGAAATGTGGTACAAACCCTGATATTCTCTTGTTGATGTTGTATTGCTCACATATGTCTGATGCTAACACGGTGAGTTGAGGTCCAACAATGCTATCCAGTTTAC